ACGGGTCGATGACTTTGGGAATGGGCGCTATAGTGGTCGACAGCTCCGACTCGATGCGGTGCAGTTGGTGCCGGTCGTCGTACGTGATCAGGTTTATGGCGACGCCGAGGTGTCCGAAACGGCCCGACCGCCCGATGCGGTGAAGGTACGTCTCGGCCATCTTCGGGAAGTCGAAGTTGATCACCACATTCACGGCCTGGATGTCGATACCGCGCGTGAAGAGGTCCGAGCAGACGAGGTTACGGCAGAGACCGTTGCGGAAGTCGTGAAAGACGCGGTTGCGGTGCGGCTGCGGCATACGCGCGTGGATGTAGTAACACGAGTAGCCCAGTTCGGCGATCTTCTTGGCCAGCAGTTCCACGCGTTGAGTCGAGTTGCAGAAGATGATGGATTGGTTGATCTGCAGCTTCGAGAAGAGAGTGTTGAGACAGTGAACCTTCTGGCGCTCCTGAACGAAGGCGTAATACTGCGTCACGCCCTTCAGCGTCAACTCCTCCATGAGGTTGATCTCGTGCGCCGCCTTCAGGTGCCGCCGCATGAACTGCTCGACAGTCACGGGAAAGGTGGCCGAGAAGAGGAGGATCTGGCGGTCGTTGGGCAGATGGCCGATCAGTAGGTCCAGCATTCCCTTGAAGTCCTGCGACAGGAGTTTGTCCGCCTCGTCCAAGACGCACATCCCGCAGCGGTCCATAACTGCCACCTTCTTCTCGATGAGGTCGAGGATGCGTCCGGGCGTCGCGATCACGACGTGCACGTTGTCGTAGATGCGGAGGATGTCGTCCTTCAGATTCGTGCCGCCCGTCGTCACCATAACCTTGGCCTTCATGTGCTTCGAGAGCTCCAAACAGATCTGCGACGTCTGCAGCGCCAGTTCGCGCGTCGGCACAACGATGAGCGCCTGGATGTGCGCCAACGTGATGTCGATCTTCTGCAGCAGTGGTATGATATACGCGCCCGTCTTGCCGGTGCCGTTCTTGGCGCGCGCCAACACATCGCGCCCGAGCAGAGCCACGGGAATGGCCGCCTCCTGGATGGGCGACGGGCGCTCCCATCCCTTCTCGAAGATGCCCATCAGGAGCTCGCGGTTCAGACAGAACTCGTCGAACTCATTGCCGCGAGTGTTGGTCACATCCGTGGTCTGGACGCGCGTGTCCTTCGGCGGCGCCTTCAACTGCGCCTTCCAGTCGTCGCCGCCTCCTGTCGTCGACCTGTCGTTCAAACAAACGGTTCAACGAATGCAAAGACAAAGCC